TTCATCTCCATCTTCAGTTGGAATGTACCACCTAACCTTATTCTGCCTTGTCATTGGCTAAACAACTTTGTCAACCAATGAGAACAATATATATTCACAGCGTACAAAAAGACATCCCACAGCACCATCTTGTAATCCTCCTGCCTCAGCCTCCCAAATAATAGGATTGCAGATGTGCATGTCCATATACCTGCCACTATAATCAATTGTTATTATTATTGTTATTGTTATGATTATTGTACCAAAGCTTAAATCTAAGGCCTTGTGCGTGCTAGGACTTGCATTCCTAGCCCCAAATGAACTTTTTCCCCTGAAACTAACTTTTTGGTATAGTACTAAGGATTGAACCCAGGGCCTCATATATACTAAGCATATATTACTACCACTGAGCTACACTCCAGTCCCTAATTCATTAAGCTCTTTTTAAGGGCACCCAACATATTCCAGTGACGCCTACTATACACTGAGGGAGAAATACAGTGACCGCTAGTGTAGGTTGTGCTAGAGCCTTGATTCATACCAGCTCCTGGCCATTTTACCCATTGCCATTTTGGTGCCCAAAAGCAGTCAAGAAAGGCAAGCCACATTTTTTTTAAATGTTTGGGAAACTTATCTGGACCATGTGTTCCCTAGAAAGGTCTGCAGGACACATTTGAACCACTAGTATAGCAAGAGGAACAAAGTTTTGTATTTGTTTTTTGTTTTTTGAGACAGGGTTTCTCTGTGTAGGCCTGGCTGTCCTGGAACTCACTCTGTAGACCAGGCTGGCCTCAAACTCACAGAGATCCAACTGTCTCTGCCTCCCGAGTGCTGGGATTGAAGGTGCGCTCCATCCCGCCCTGAGGAACAAAGTTCAAGGAAGGATGGGGTCGGAGCCTTGAAGAAATCTAGCACCTGAGAGAAACACAATGAAAGCATGAGAGGAAGCATCAGCTTGAGGCAAGAATGTTCTCAGAGGTAGAAGGGACCAATGATGTGAGAATGTCCTCCAAAGTCCACATGCTGACACCATGATCCCAGCCACAGCACTGTGGAGGAGGCAGATCCTCTGGGGTGGGTCTCAATGGAGTTACTGGGGGAGTGACCTCTGAGGGGGTACTGGGGGCCTGGCTTCTTCTTGTCTTTCCTTTTCAATTCTTGGTCCCCATGATGTGTGTGGCTCTGCTCTGGCATACTTTCCCTGCATGACATTCTACCTTACAGAAGAGCGATGGAGTCGGCCGAATGCCTAAGGTCATGCACCTGAATAAACTGTTCCTCTTTTTTTTTTTTTTGGTTTTTCAAGACAGGGTTTCTCTGTGTAGCTTTGCACCTTTCCTGGAACTCACTTGGTAGCCCAGGCTGGCCTCGAACTCACAGCGATCCGCCTGGCTCTGCCTCCCGAGTGCTGGGATTAAAGGCGTGCGCCACCACCGCCCGGCTCTCTTTTTCAGCTCATTGGCATAGGTATTTTGTCACAATGGCAGAAAACGAACGCAGTGTGAAGCGTAGGCTAAAGACAGGAGGAAAGATGGCTTAGTGACAGGTAATTCAGCAAGAGCTGTTTCCATGAGTTACCAGCTGGGAAACTGGGCTGAAGGGAGTGTCAGTGTGTGAGAAGTGAGGAGACAGAACAGGTAGATAGATGAGTCTTCAGGGAAAGTTACAGAGAAAAAAGTCGTGGATGCAGGAAGGAGTGGTACTGGTCATCCTCTCTCTCACCGTGAGTGAGTGCATGATGCATAGGTCATGGAGGAGGGGTGGAAAGATCTCCAGATGGCTCCTGGGTTCCCATGTATGACACCAGTTGAACAGTGGTCTATTCTCTAAGATAAGAAACAGGCTGCGGTTAGAGCTAGCCTGTAGTTCACATAAAGGAGAATCACAAACAAAATCATTTTTAAGTGTTCCTTGTTGAAGAGGCCTGACTTAACATCAGTGCAGCATGACAGGCTGCAGACTAACAATACTAGGACTATGCCTCACCATTACAATAACCAGGAAAAGCCACAAACTGCACCCTGTGGGGGACCAATCAGGATTGAGACAAACAAGTACTAGATGCTCTAGAATTATAAGGAGAGCTTACATAACTTGTATATAAGTTGCCAATTTCCTTGCAGCAACATCAGTACCAATTCCTGTTTGGTAAGACTTCTGTTACCTCACTTCTGCCCAATCAGGAGTTCAATCCCCATCTGAATCCAGAATTCTCCTACCCCCACAATTCTTTACTCCTTAAAAATCCTGCCATAACTGAGCTCAGGGCTCTCTGTCATCCAACCACTGTGTTGGAATGGATGGAGAGCCCAAGCTCGAGCTTGCAATAAAGGCTCTTTGCTTTTGCATACAAACTCGGACTCCTGGTGGTCTCTGGGGGGCTCATGACACAGGCATAACAATTTTATTTTATTTTTTTGAGACAGGGTCTTTCTATATAGCTCTGAGTGTTCTGGAACTCACCCTGTAGACCAGGCTGGCCTCGAACTCACAGAGGTCCTCCTGCCTCTGCCTCCAGAGTGCTGGGATTAAAGACATGCACCATAATGCCTGGTTTAAGATTTATTTTTAATTATGTGTATGTGGAGGCAGGAGTGGGAATGTATATGTGCCCTTAGAGGCCAGAGGAAGACACTGAATCCCCTGGAACTAGAGTTACAGGTGGATGTGAGCTCTCAGACATGGGTGCTAAAAATTCAACCTAGGTCCTCCCTCTGTGAGAGCAGTGTGTGTTCTTAACAGCTGAGCCAGTTCTCTAGCCCTGCATACAAAAATCTTAATTTCCTTAAAACACTTTTATGTATATGCGTGTTTTGACTGTTTCTGTGTAAATACATTACGTGTGTCAGAAAAAGGTGTCAGATACCCTAGAATTAGAGTTACCGATGATTGTGAGCCACCGCGTGGATGTTGGGAACTGAACCTGTGTCCTCTAAGGGGCAGCAACTGCTCAACTGCTGAGGCATCTCTCCAGCTTCTGTTTGTTTTTGTTTGTTTGTTTGTTTTTTAAAGACAAGGTTTTACTGTGTAGCCCTGGCTGTCCAGGAACTCTTTATGTAGACCAGGCTGGCCTCAAACTCACAGAGATCAGCCTGCTTCTGCCTCCCAAGTGCTGGGATTAAAGGCATGTGTCACTATTGCGGGGCATTTACCCACCAACCCCACAGCTCCCCAGAGTTTTCTTGAGTGCAAGCAGCAGGAAATATTAGATAGAAGGATTTAGATTGTGGAGATAAACAGAAAATAAAGGATAACCTGGAGAGGGCCTATTCCAACGGGCCCCGACTGTCTCTGTCCCAGGGTATTTATAGAGATGCCAAGGGTTGGAGCAAAAGACCTCCCCCCAGCACAGCCAAGTGCAGACCATCTCAGACACCTGCACTCAGGCCAGTGGTACTAATCATCCTCTTTATGCAGACCTGCTGGGTAAAGCCACGGGGAACCTGAAAACGGGCTCCCACACACTACATTGGACATTAATGCTGTTTGCACTTACTGCCTCCTTGAGTTAAAAGCACATACTATTTTAATTACCTTACAAAAAGTCATTAGTTTTTGTTTGTATGTTTGTTTGAGACAGGGACTCCTGTAGCCCACACTGGCCTTGAACTTGCTAAATAACCAGGACTGGCCTTGAACTCCTGATCCTTCTGCCTCCACTTCTGAGTGACAGCATTATAGGCAACACCACACCCAACTTAAGTCATGTCTTCATAGAGGGGAATATCCTCAAATTTTATCCAATAAGAGAGAGATAATGTCTTTAATGGAACTGTTTGGTCCACTTAATTGAGCCTTCCCCTCCCCCCTTTTAACGCAGTGAAAAATTACAAGCAAGTACTTTCCAGTATTTGCTTAAATGTATTTTTATCCTCTCTAATCTTGCATAGGAATCTTAATTACGAGAACACAGTCACCCAAAATTTTGATGTTTTCTGCAATATTCATGAAACGAACAAATTCTTTTTGAATTAAGGAGCCACTGACTCCAATTACTTCCATTTACTACGAATGGAAGCAGGAAACACAGTCCCTGCTCTAATTTGTAGGAAGCAATTTCTTAAGTTTGCTTAACACAAACACAATTCAAGTCATTTACATAAAATAGGAAGAATCCAGTTGTTGCTGTTGAATGAATGTTGTTAAAGTAAAGGAATAACCAATTCATTTCTGAGATTCCCAGAGCAGCTCTAGACAGGAAGCAGAAAAGATTTTCACAAGGCTATCTCAAAGAGTCATCTTAACGTTCCTCTTTCTTTTCTCTCAAGAATGTACGAAAATGGACATTAAGTTTAAAGTTATAACAGTCTTTCAAAACATTACATCCTTCAACAACATAGACAGCTGCAAACTGGGCATGGTGGCACATCCTTGTAATCTCCACACTGGGGCCGGGGTTCGGGGATTTGTCTCAGTGGTAAACTGTCTTGCCTAGCAATCGTGAGGCCCTGCTTCAGTCCCCAGCACAACAAAATAAAACAAATTGTAATCCACAAGACAGTAGAGGCAGGAAGATTAGGAGCTCAAAATCATCCTGAGCTCCTTAGTGAGTTCAAGGTCAGCCTAGGATATGTGAGATCTTGTCCCATCAAACAAAAAAAGGAAGGAAGCGATAATGCCATATCATGCAATTATTTTCATTAAAATTTGTACATTAGGCTGGAGAGATGGCTCAGAGGTTAAATGCACTGGCTGTTCTTCCAGAGGTCCTGAGTTCAATTCCCAGTAACCACATGGTGGCTCACAACCACCTGAAATGAAATCTGGTGCCCTCTTCTGGCTTGCAGGGAGACATGCAGATAAGAACACTGTATGCATAATAGATAAATAAATCTTTTAAAAAAGTTAAATGTGCCGGGCGGTGGTGGCGCACGCCTTTAATCCCAGCACTCGGGAGGCAGAGCCAGGCGGATCTCTGTGAGTTCGAGGCCAGCCTGGTCTCCAAAGCGAGTTCCAGGAAAGGCGCAAAGCTACACAGAGAAACCCTGTCTCGAAAAACCAAAAAAAAAAAAAAAAAAAAAAAAAAAGTTAAATGTGTACATTAATTTATAATTTAACAAACTATAAATACCCAACTGGTAAAGCAGTATGAAAGGGCTGGAAAACTTTCACTTTAGGTCTCACCTTAAATCATAAGTTAAACTAAGTCTGGAAAAATCTAGAAGATAACGTTTTCCATGTCTTTTCTTGAAAGGAGTTTTATTTCCTGTCAGATATTGCCACAATCTTGTAATCTCAGCTCTCAGGTTGTCAGTACCTCTACCACTGAGCCACTTCTCCAGCCCATAGCTAGATTTTTTTCATGTTTGTTTTAACAATATCTTTTGGAAAATGGTGTATTTATTTTATAGCATATGTATAAATGTTTTACCTGCATGTATGAAAATGCACCATGTTCTACAGTGCTTGGAGGTCAGAAGATGATGTCAGATCCCTTGGAACTGAAATTACTGATGGTTATGAGCCACCACATGGGTGCTGGGAATCGAACCTGGATCCTCCACAAGAGCAATAAGTGCTCTAAAACTCTGAACCACCTCTTCAGCCTCTAAAATAATTTTTTAAAGATTTTATTTATTTATTATTATACAGTGTTCTGCCTACATGCTAGAAGAGGGCACCAGATCTCATTATAGATGGTAGTGAGCCACCATGTGGTTGCTGGGACTTGAACTCAGGACCTCAGGAAGAGCAGCCAGTGCTCTTAACCTCTGAGCCATCTCTCCAGCCCTAAAATAATTTAAAAACTACATTTTATTTATTTTGTGTCCATGTTTATGTGTGTGGGTGCAAGATGAACTCCACAGCATGCATGTAGAGTTCAGAGGACAACTTGAGAGAAATTAAATTTCTCTTTCTACCCTGCGGGTTCAATCTTGTCAGGCTTGGCAACAGGTGACTTTATCGGCTCAGCCGAGTTGGTGGCCCAAACACACTCAGTTCTTGAGGAACCAACCTTCAAGGCCCTGGCTAAGAGATCAGTTTCTACGAAGGTCAGTAGTGGCTTAAAGCTGTTTTTTGGTTTTTTGTCTTGTTTTTAAGATTTATTTATTTAATATGTATACAGTGTTCTGCCTGCATGTACACCTGCAGGCCAGAAGAGGGCACCAGGTTGTGAGCTGCCATGTGGTAGCTGAGAATTGAACTCGGGACCTCTGGAAGATCAGCCAGTGCTCTTAACCTCTGAGCCACCTCTCCAGCCCAGAGCTTTGTTGTTGCTGATGATGTTTTGTTGTTGTTGTTGTTGTTTTTTCTTTTTTCTTTCAAACCACTGCTTTCTTAATTTGAGGCGGTTCTAATGGCCTCTGCTCGGCTTTTCCTGCCCTACCCTCCATCGCTGTATAGGAACGGGAACCAATGTGAGGATCCTGGTAGGTACTGATTGCGTCTATTTCAACTTTGCGTTCTAGAACTGGCAAGTAACAAGACAGGTTAAGGGCCCAACCAGGCCAGCTATGGGGCAGATGTCCGCTAAGACTCCACCGATGACCTGGCCTCTGGTTGCTCTTCCCTTCACTGGTGGCCACAGTAATACATTGGCATGCTGGAACAGAGTCAGCTGATAGCCAGGGCCAGTCAATCCAAAAGTGTTTGTTTTATTCAGTCAATCCAGAAATGTCTATGTATTTTATCTTCGTAATTATTCCCTGGTGAGAGACCACAGGTCTCTTTGAGGAAGACCGGAGAAAAAGTTGCACTATAAAATTTCAGTTCATTTATTTATTTTATTCTATGTGTATCGTTGTTTTGCCTGCATGTATGTATGTGGACCCCCTGTAGGCCTGGTGCCTTTGGAGGTCTGAAGAAGTGTCAGATGCCTTGGAACTGGAGTGACAGCTGTTTGTGACCTGCCTTAGCGGTGTCAGGAATCGAACCCAGGTCCCCTGGAAGAGCAACAAGTGTTCTTAACCTCTGAGCCATCTCTCCAGCCCCCAAATTATCGGTTGAAATGGGTCCTTCCTTAAGGGGCCCAGCTCTCCACTTTGCTCAAGGAGGCTCTGGGTCTATTGAAGTCCAGGATTCATTGCGGGGCTATACTTCATGTTCTTATGATTCAAGTGAGACTTGTGGTTATTTCACCTAGAACATTTCTGCTTATACAGATCAAAAGAGACTCTAACAATTAGTCATCCATGTAGGGAGATGTGAAATCCAGAGTGAACATGTACTGTTAACATGGGCACAGCCATAACAAGGAATCCCGTGCCTCAGCCCCAAGAGAGTGTCACAGCCTTCCTCTGGTTGGAGTACAAATGTTGGTAGTGTGTGTAGAAAATGTCCACTGTAGCTTTCTCCCCCAGATTGTTCCCAGCCTGAAGACGGCTCCCTACTGAGTCTGTTCCTGCCAGGATGCGCTATACCTGCCTCCTCGTTCCCCTCTGTATGCAATAAGCATGCTGAGCATCTGCAGCACTGCAACTTCTTCCTCAGACAGCCCAGTCCATCCTATCCCAGCTGTTATGTGTGTCCCTGGGTCTACCTTTTCTTTCGTCCCTTGTAGTCCCAGTCAGGTCAATCTCTAGAGCTGTGCAGGACATGTATGCAGGACATGTTAGTGCCACCTGATTTACTTCTAGAAACACCATGATCTACCAGCCAACACCAAAGGTCTGTGTGAGTTCTAATAGCCTGATCAATGTCTTGGCTGTTTTCTGCTATGGAAGCCATAACCACTCCACCTTTGGTGTTCAAGTGTCCAAACTGCCACCTGGGTAGGAAGGAGGAATTCAGCTGCATTTAAGATTCCCAATTCTGTGATGACAGCCCCATTTAGAAGCTCTGGTTTGTAGAGAAGAGCAAATACAGAGCCCTTCAAGAATGCTAGGCTGCCTCCACAACTGTATTCCGGTACTGGCATACTCTTTTGTGTTGTTACAGTATGGGTTTCATTTGAAACCTATGAAACATGCCTATGCCAAACACTCCAATCTCGCTAAGCCTTTCAGTGTTTTCCTTTAAGGTAAACTGAGACAGGGCATATTTTTGTAACTTGCTCCATCTGGGCCTCATTTTGGTCCATGTTTGAACCACCCAAGTAAATGGCATTTTCTAATTCCTCGAACTATAACACTGAAGATAGGATGAGTTTGGAGGGTATATGCTGGTGGCAGAGAACTTTTCTAGCAAGTGTAAAGTCCTGGATCTAATCCCTAATACATTCATGTATACTCTCGTGCACATGTACAAAGAAAGAAAAGGAAGAAGAAGGGGGTGGTGGTGGTTTGAAAGAAAATGGCCCCCAAAGGGAGTGGCACTATTAGGAGGCGTGCCTTGTTAGAGTAGGTGTGGCCTTGTTGGGGAAGTGTGTCACTGTAGAGGCAGGCTTTGAGGTCTCATATATGCTCAAGCCATGCCCAGTGTCTCAGACCACTTCCTGTTGCCTGCAAGTCAAGATGCAGAACTCTTGGCTCCTTCTCCAGCACCATGTCTGCCTGCATGCTGCAGTGTCCCACCATGATGATAATGGACTAGATCTCTGAACTGTAAGCCACCCAATTAAACATTTTTCCTTATAAGAGTTGCTGTGGTCATGGTGTCTCTTCACAGCAATGGAATCCCTAACTGAGACAGGGAGAAAGAGAAAGGCGGCAGAGTCTCTGTGTGGTGAGTCCATATCAACACATTCAGCTCCGTGTCCCTTATGGCCTTGTCTCACACTCTCAGTATTCGTCGTCACACACACACCTCCGTTTCTGTCTATGGACAGCTTATTAGTAAGCTCAAGTGTTTTGTTTTGTTTTGTTTGAAATGCGGCACACCTCTTCATGGTTTGTAAGTTGTACTTCACCTTTAGTGGCCTGTTGGGACTTCAATCTAGTTATAGGCCTAGAAGCCAAGAGGAAGGTGGGAGTGGTTCCTGAGGAGAGTGAGCAAGGTTCTGTACAGAATCTGCCTCAAGGGAGGCCAGTGTCTCTCCAGCAATTCTCAGTTACTCACCTGAACTGAGGATGAGGAGGTTGGTAGAGAGGCCAGTAGGGCTGGAGGACTCTTTCTACTTTGGGTGGAAAGGCCTCTCTGGTGATGAAGACTCATCAGTGTTTCAGGCTCAACGCTCCTGCTCCAGATCCTTCCACACAAACACATTACAGCATCCTGTTCTTTCCCCAATCTGTCACCTCACTTTAACAGCAGATACACTGGGAGGCTGGGAATTCAGTTTGCCTCAGAATTCGGCCAGTCACAGGACAAGGTCCAGCATTTGATTTGCAGTAGTCTCAGGTCAGGCCTACACCAACAGAAGGTAAGTCTCCTTCAGGGTATGTCTGTGGTTGTCAACATGTGCATCCCAACCCCTTTTGTGGGAGTTAAATGACCCTTTCACAAGGATTGCATATCAGATATTTCCATTATGATTCATAACAGTAGCAAAATTACAGTAAGTATCAACAAAGATAATTTTATGCTGGCAGCAGGCAGTTACCACAACTTGAGGAACTCTATTAAAGGATTGCAACATTAGGAAGGTTGAGAACCCCTGCTAAGTCATTTATCCTGGGAACTTTTAATTTGAGTTCTTGAGGGTATCTGTTGTGTAACAGTTTTCTACAAGATTGAAACATTCTATCCTGCAGGAACACTCTTTAAGCAGAGAGGTAAATCATTTAAAATAGCTTCAGGAAGTCCCTGAAACTGATCAGATTCATAGACCCCTCCCTGCCACAGTAGGCAATTGAAGCTGAGAGTCCTTCTCAGACACAAAGAACGTAAGTGGCAAAAAAGACTGAGACAAGCCAAGCCGCAAAGATGACTTTGAGACCCCACCAGCTGCCTAGAAGAAGCAGGAACCTGATGAACTTTCTGGAGGAGGTTTAGACCAACTGAGGCTCCTGGAAAGGACACTGTCCAACCTGTTGAGCTACTTGCAGGCTGTGTAGTATGTTCTAGGTTTCCCAGATTTTGTGAGCTGTCCCCCATGCTGGGGTGGGCTTTGGTGATGCAGCTGTCTTTGAGTCGTTTCTACTCCTGTAAGGAACCCCTCAGCCATATTCACGTAAGTAACCCCAATAAAACTCATTGGTTCACTAAGTTGAACTTTGGCAAGATCCGTATTTCAGTCTGTCATGGATTCCCTAACTGGGGTGAGTAGATGTGTGTGTTGTGTCTCCCCCGGAAAAGTTTTGTCACACAGCATAATTGGCACCTGACCAGGGACACAACAGAACCAAAGATGAGTTGGGGAGGAGTGAGTGCACATTCCTAGCTATGGGTAGCAAGACATGCAATGGAGGCTGAGAAGCCCGAGGTGGGTGGGGAGCATCCACGGGAGAAATTCCTACAGAATTACCCTTTCCTGTATGGTGTGTGTTAGTATGCCTTTGTCCTAGGACAGCGGTTGCATGGTTCATGCTATGGGTAGTGAGACATGCAACTAAGGCTGAGCCGTCAGGGTTAGCAGTGTCTGTAGGAGGAATCCCAGGGTGGCAGTTGTCTGTGTGGTGTGGGTTGGCATGCCTGCTTGATGAGTGGGGTCCCCCAAGTGAATATGGAGATGCCCTGAAAACAGTTGAAGGTTTAGAGGAAATCTTGCAGTCTTTGAGATCAGCACACACAAGGATCAAGACTGTCAGCAAGCAAGGTTGCCTGACCTCCATTGTGTGTGGTTAGAAATACATCTGAGGCCAAGATGGCGGCCAAGCAGAAACTTGCTAATGTAAAGGAACAATTGCAACCAGAAAGGGAGATGAGACTAGCATCCTCCCAGCTAGCCTCTGACTTGGCAGGTATATTAGATAAACGAGAGAATGAGAAAGAGATGTTGAAAGCAATAGAAGAGAGCCTTGAAGTCTGACCTTTAGTAGAAAAAGAAGAAAATACAACCTGCAGATGGGGACATTTCCCTCCAGAAAATGCTTGTGCTGAGGAGATTGTTTGCTCACTCAGGAACTACTGTAGCAGCCAGGTGTGGTGAATGAGAAGGCTATGGCCACCGTGCCAGCTCAGGGCCACTCTGACCCATGGAGCCAGCAACTGCAGCAGGGGAAGCAGGGCCGCATTCACCTTTGTCCCTGAGCAGATCTGAGCAGAGTAAGCCAGGCCCACTGAGTTTCTGAGGTGTGGAGAAGTATAGGGAGACCCTGTGAAAGAGCTCTAGGATATGCAAATATAATGGCTTAGAAAGAATGATCAAAGATTACAGGCGCTAATATCCCTGCTCTGAACCAACCACGATCTATCTGTGGAGGAAGCAATCAGTACACATGGATGGAGCCTTTCCCCGCTGTATTAGACTGTGCTTGTGTTCTACTTTACTGTCTTCTTATTGTGAACTTCTGGGGTCACCTGACCCTTCTGAGAACAGGTGACAACAGACTTTCAGAGTGCTTCACCATGGTTATCTTTGTAACCTGCTGTCTGTTATGAGATGATGGTTCTGGATGTTGCCCTGTCCTGCTGCTCATCCTCCGGAAAAGGTTTTGTTGGATAGATGAACCTCTGAGTGTTTTGCAGATTTGGAAAACCACTGGAGAGACAACCAGGTACACTGTTACTTCTACTTACCTTACAACCCTCCTGGAGCTAAGATAACTAAACCAAACAACAAACAAAACCCTAAATATATGCTACGTGGGTGAAAAAGCACACCCCCAGAGGTCATAAAGTTATTGAATGAAAACCCCAGTGCCAGGGGTGGGCTACCTCCCTGTGAGGGTCAGGGAAGCCCCTGGGGCCCACAAATCATAAAGGCTGTCACCACTGCTGGTGATGGTATGCCAAAACTAGACAATAAGATCCTATTTCTGAAGACGCCACATGTACATGCTTTGACTATAGGACATGAAGAAATTATTCTGGGACTCAACTGGAAGCTCTTACTCTAAGTGGCTCTCATAGTGCCAGAGGGGACCATGCAGGCTGCTGATGGAGAACTGTCACCCACATTCTGGGGACCCTGCGTGCTGAATTACCAACATGCTAGGCAGGATATGACTGTTTGTGCAATCGTGGGTTAGCTATTGTGGGTAAGACTAACATCCTTCCAATTTGATTTAAAGCCCACTCCACAAGAGTTCACCTTTGGTACTATAAGCCAAGACAAAAACTTGTGGCTAGGGCAGTTGTAGGTCCCAATGGGAAAGGAACTTGTTTGTTTGTTTTTTTTATTTTAGATAAATCTGATGTGCCTGTCCAATTGCCTTCTAAACATGTGTTTATGCCTATAGATCGCTGTTGTTGTCAGCCTCAATTCATAACCACTGGTGAAGCTCCTGAGAACAAGTGACAGTATTGTGACACGTTGGTCTACTTATTAGCCATAGGTGGACATCTATAGTCACCACCTTCAAGGCTCGGCGATCATTGTGGAAGAGGGGGCAGAAAGAATGAAAGAGCCGAGCTGGCGGCGACGGCGCATGCCTTTAATCCCAGCAGTCGGGAGGCAGAGCCAGGTGGATCTCTGTGAGTTCGAGGCCAGCCTGGTCTACAGAGTGAGATCCAGGACAGGCACCAAAACTACACAGAGAAACCCTGTCTTGAAAGAAAAAAAAATGAAAGAGCCAGAGAAAGGGGTGGAGTGTGGTGTAACAGTTTTCTTTGAGATTGAAACATTCTATCCTGCAGGGAAGCTCTTTAAATAGGAAGGTAAACTACTCAAAATAGCTTCAGGAAGTCCCTGCAACCGACCAGATTCACCAGGCCCCTCCCTGCCACAGTAAGCAATAAAAACTGAGAGTTCCGCTCAGATGGACAGAGTCAAGCTGCAAAAAAGACTCAGACAAGCCCAGTGGCAAAGATGACTCCGAGACCAGACCAGCTCCTTGGAAGAGCTAGAGATTAGCTGAGCTGCCTGGAAGTTTAGACCAGAGTCACTTAGAAAGGACACTGTCCAACTGTTGAGCTGCCTGCAGGCTGTGCGGTGTGCTCCGGGTTCCCAGCTTTGTGAGCTGTCACTCATGCTGGGGTGGGCCTTGGAGATGCAGCTGTCTTTGAGTCATTTCTACTCCCATAAGTAATCCCAATAAAACTCATTGGTTCACCAGGTTGAACTCGGGTGGTAACCGTACTTTTGTCTATGGTGCGATCCCTATCTGGGGTGAGAAGATGTGTGTGTTGCGTCTCCCCAGGAAGGTTCGTTATATGACAGCATCCTTATCTTGTACTGCATTGTCCAGCCATATTAGCAGTAACCAGCTAAGTTAATTACATTCATTAGGTCTCAGAACTGTTTTTCTTGTGTACGTGCATATGTGTGTGCACAGTGATATGTATGTGTGAGAAGAGAGGCTAGAGGATGATGTGGGGTTTCCCGTTCTGTTTGCCTCATTCCTTGAAACAGGGTGTTTCACTGAACCTGGAACTGTGTTGGGCAGCAAGCTATTATGATCAATCCACGTGAGCCTATTAAATGGGTAACAGAATTTATTAAGATATCAATTGAGGAAATACACTCATGAATACAGAATGGAGTAGACAGCAGAAGTCATCCTCTGATCTGACTGGGAAAGAATCCACCACGCAGGCAGGAGCAGGGAGAAGGGGCATGTGACCTTTCTCCAACTCTTTATAAGAGGTCACGTACACTGGCAGGAAGTGCCGCCTTCATTGGACCATATAGCCCGAGGTCATGGGCAGAGCAAATACCACTACAGTAAGCCTCAGGAATTCTCCTGCCTTGGTATTTCCTTCACCCTCCCAGGTCAGGGTTTACAGGTGTGTGTAGCGGCCTCCAGCTTTTTAAGATGAGTTCTGGGCATTTGAACTCCAGTCATCATGCCTGAACAGCAAGTACTCTTATCTGATAGCTGAGTCATCTCTCCAGCTCCGTTCTGAAGTTTTGGAAGTACCATATACATCCAACTTTGTATTTCCTTTTCTCTCTTTTCCCCTCCCTCCCCACATCTCTTTGAGAGGGTCTCTTACTGCCCAGGCTGCTTTTGAACTTACTATGCAGCTGAGGGATGGTCTTGAACATCTGGTTCTCCTGTGTGCTAGAGCTACAAGCATGTGCCACCATGCTTGCTTTATGTGGTGCTAAGCAGTGACCCCAGGGCCCCATGCATGCTGGGCAAGCACTCTGTCACTGAGCTCTAGCTGCAGCCCTTCATGTTGTATACATCTTTACAGCTGGATCACTCTACAGGCCCTCAGAACTCTCCTTACTACTAGACCAGTGGTTTCAACCTGTAGGTCCTGACTCCTTTTAGGGGTCAAATGACCCTTTCACAGGGGTTGCCTAAGACCATTGGAAAACACAGATATTTACATTACAATTAACAACAGTAGGAAAAGTTGCCTGGCTAGCTCAGTTGGTAGAGCATGGGACTATTAATCCCAGGATCGTGGAAAGCCCTACATTAGGTGGTTTAGTTTTCAGTTTAGACAGGAGGTAGTGCCTTTAATCCCAGCACTCGGGAGGCAGAGGTAGGCAGATCTCTGTGAATTTGAGGCCAGCCTGGTCTACAGAGTGAGTTCCAGGACAGCCAGGATGACACAAAGAAACCCTGTCTCGAAAAGCCAAAAACAAAACCAACTAACCAACCAAACAACCAAACAACAACAACAACAACAACAACAAAACAAATTAGCAAAATTACAGTCATGAAATAACAATGAAAATAATTTTATGGTTGGGGATCACTACAACGTGAGGAACTGTATAAAGATTCGCAGCATTAGGAAGGTTGAGAGCCACTGTACTAGACATAGAGTTGTTTATATCTAATCAGATTACAATACTAATTCGAAAAATTCTGGATCCAATTTAGAACTCATCTGTAACGTTGCATTAGTGTTACAAATTAGTTGAGATAATCAGCTTTCGAGGAGGAAAGATTGACTTTGGCCCATAGTTTCAGAGGGGTCAATTCATTGCTAGTTAGCCAAATGCTTGTGAGCCTGTCATGAGGCAGTACATCATGCTGGGGACATACAACAAAATCCCTTGACTCATTGGTGACCAGAAAACAGAAGTAAGACAGAGACAAACGGGCCAGAGCCCATTATGGGTTGAATGTGGGATATCTGTCACAGGCTTATTATTGGTTTCAACATTTATGTGGTCCCCAGCTGGTGATGCTGTTTTGGCAGGTTATGGAACCTTTAGGTTTATGTCTTCTGGTTCTGGCTTGCTTGTTCTCTGCTTCTTGGCTCATCTGTGACGTGATCACCTGCCTCAAGTTCCCACTGACCAAGATGAGCAGACCCTGCCACCATGCTTTTCTCGACATGATATGCTGAACCTTCTGAAATCAGGAACTAAATAAGTCCTTCCTTCCTCAACCCACTTCTGTCAAAACAAATACATTTCCAATATCCCCTTCGAGGGCATGTCCCCAGTAATCCAACTTCTTCTAAGAAGTCTGTACCTTTTAAGGGTTCCATCACTAATGCTAGAGATCACTGTGCATATTCTGTTCCTCTGGGGCCATTTTTAGGACCAGAGTCTGTGTTGTGGTTCTCCAGAAAAACAGAATAGGACACACACACACACACACACACACACATTGTTGCATTATAAAGAAATGATCCTGTAGATGTAACCAACCGTCTTATTAAATAAGAAACACATAGCCAATACAGAGATGAAAGCCAGGAGGTCAGAGCAATAGCTAAAAGCTAAAACCTTACCCTTCACTTTCGCTGTTGTCCTACCTCTCCGAAAAAAGAGACCCACTTCCTGTGTGTCTGTCTTTTTATAGAGTTTCTGTTCTGCCTTCTCATTGGTTGTAAACCCAACCACTGCCCATCTGTACAGACCTCCAGGTCTTCTATGGTTGGTATTGAGATTAAAAGCGTGTGTCTCCATGCTGGCTGTATCCTTGAACAAACAGAGATCCCCTTAGCTCTGCCTCCCAAGAGCTGGGATTAAAGGCGTGCACCACCACTGCCCAGCTTCTGCTAAGGCTTGCTATTAGCTCTGACCCCCAGGCAACTTTATTTATTAACATACAAATCACATTTTAGTACAAATAAAATATTACCATATGATCCATATGCTTAGAAAAATCCTATGGTTTGCTATCTCCACCCTGGTGGTCCAGGAGAGCTAGTGATACATCCCTGTGAACTGGAGGGCTGATGGCCTCAGTCCCAGCTGAAAGCAGAAGTCTGGTGTTCCAGCCGGAGCAATCAGGCATAGAAAGCAAATTTCCTTTCCCTCAGTTTTTTTTTTTAAATCTTTTCTTTCTATTCAGGTCTTATGAATGGATGGAGACTGGATGAGGGAGGGCCATCTGCTTTACTCAGTCACTGATTCTAATGCTTATTCCACTGAGAGAAACACCCTGCCACACTCACAGAAATAATATTTGACATGTAAAATTAACCATCAGAAATATGTCCACACACCAAAGGTCCCTGAGCAGCAGCAACTTAAGATTTGTTTCTTGAATAGTAGAAAACGTTTTGACTATCTTCAATAAGACACAGGCTTTCATGTTGCTTATTTGAAGAGTTATTGGAAAATATTTCTGTGCTTGGAATCCTCTTATTTATGATAGAGAAAAATGACATGTGATGATGGTATATATTTTGTATTAAAGGCGGTATGTGTGTAAATGCGGGTAAGTCTCAGATTATTAATACCTGAAACAAATGCTTCACAACTTAAACACAGAAGATACTAATTAGTATATAGGTGTCACTCACAGTTCTACTAACCAGAGATGATTAATTTAATCACGTACTGTCATAGAATTAATTATAATGACAATTATTAATGACAAAATTATCATGTGGCAGTTTGTATGTGTGATTTCCCATTTTATTCAATAAGTCAGTAAAAACATTTAAATTTGTGTGATTCTCATCTAATTTTCATTTCTCGACTCGATTTGGACTGTGTGGGACTTTAGTGCTTCAACAAATCCCCCAAGTTAAGACAATCAGCTCAACATTCCCCCCAACAGGAAAAAGCACACTGAAAACAAACAGGATCCTGGAGCATGGAGAAAAATGCCCAGGTTTGTAATAGCTGTGTGTGTTTTTCTTCTTTCCTTGTCAATGTAATGGGGGTTGTTTTGAGTAATATAGCCTCCCAACTATCTGGGATTAGTTTTGTGCTGCTATACTTGGTATAGGCTGGATAATTTTATGTGTTTGCAGCATCTTTTTACGTGTGCGTGTACGTGTGTGTCGCATGCCACTGCACACATGAGCTGTGCTGGGATCATCAGTACAAACCATTATGCCTTTTTTTTTTTTTTCTTTATGTGGGTGTTGGGGGATCAAATTTAAGTCTTCATGCTTACATGGGAAGCATTTTACCAAACAAGCCATCTCTGGGTTGGATGATTTTTAAGGACTCTTCTAGAATATATACTGTATGAATCTATGCCACACATTCAATATTTAATTAAATTGCCTTATTATGTTATGCACAAAGCAGATTTCTGCCTCAGGGCCTTTGGACTTGCTACTCCATTTAATAAATCATTCCTTAGATGGTCATGGCCTAGTCTCTTACTTAAGTCCCTCCTCAAATATCACTACCTCAGAGCAGCCTTCCCTGATTAGCTCATCTAAAAATAGCATGCTCTCACTATCCCTTTAGTCTCCCCCACCCCCCCATAGCATTGACCAGTGTCTGACTTTGTATGCCTCACACACTGGAATACAAGGTCCGTGAAGGCAAGAATTTTATCAGCGCTGTTCATTGCTGTATCCTCAGAACCCGGCATATAACTGCCCGAGACATATTTGCTGAAGTAATTGAATGAATCGCCATTTGAGTTTGATATTTACCTCGTTTTGCTTCCTCAAACCAGGCAGTAAATTCATGCAAAGCTGACACATGCCCTGGTTGATTCACTTCTCTAAGGTCATTTAACTCAGCTCTGCATGAAGGATAGACATCCAGACATGACAGCCTGGAGGAGTGGCTAAGTTACAGGCAGAGGAGGGCAGGGCCTGGCAGGGGTGAGCAGGGCCAGGCAGGGGTAGGCAGGGTCTGGCAGGGGTGAGCAGGGCCAGGCGAGGGTAGGCAGGGCCTGGCAGGGGTGAGCAGCCAGCATTCCCCACTGCCTCACAAAATCAGTAAGTATGGCAGCGCAGCCACACTTGAGTTTATAAAGTACATTTTATTTTATTTTTTATTTGATGTATATTGGTGTTTTGCCTACAAGTATGTCTGTGTGAAAGTGTTGGATCCTCTGGAACTGGACAATTGTGAGCTGCCCTGTGGGTTCTGGGAATTGTACCTGGGTCCTCTGGAAGAGCAGCCAGTGCTCATAAATGCTGAGCCATCTCTCCAGCCCATATAAAGTACTTTTATGTATTGTCTCATTTGGTCATTTTAGCAACACTGTAGTAGTTCTTTATGTTTTCTGAAAGAAGAAATCACTCAAACACAACAAATAGTAACTTTTGGTAGGTACTATTGTAACTGAAAAAAAATTAAAATATACAAAAATTTAAGATACCAGTGGTGGTAGCATTTAAATTGTTATCAGACATTCGGGGAAATGTGCTGAATAACTGAGTATATCTACTTGACATGTACAGAGATTTGGGGAAGAATGGAAGCAAGTTTAACAATGTCTTCACAGTGGTTATTAACAGTAGGCTTTTGTGTGTGTGTGTGTGTGTGTGTGTGTGTGTGTGTGTGTGTGTGTGTGTGTTTAGATTCTTAACGTATTCCAAGTTGCTTCGTAGCTGGAGGATCTGGAATCAACGTCAGGGCTTCTTGTGTCCTAGGAAAGTACTCTACCAACTGAGTTACAATTAGCCCAACCCGGGGACATTGTATTCTTTTTTAGCAAGAAAAAACGTAGATCAATGCTTCATTCTGTGACAAACAAGTTTTGTTTGCTTTTATTTTGTTTTGTTTTTCGAGACAGGGTTTCTCTGTGTAGCTTTGCCTTTCCTGGAACTTACTTGGTAGCCCAGGCTGGCCTCGAACTCACAGAGATCCGCCTGGCTCTGCCTCCCAAGTGCTGGGATTAAAGGCGTGCGCCACCACCGCCCGGCCGACTAACAAGTTTTATCCTTTGCAAAATAAGTAAACAAATAAAACCAACAACAATCTAAACTTTCCAGGATATTGAGCTGGGCACAGAGCCAAAACCCGTGTCAGAGACTTGTTCTGGAATTTGCAGCAAGCTTGAAGCGTGCTCGCGCTTCAAGTGTCCCTCTCTTCTCTTGCTGATTTAAAGTACTGAAAATTCCCCTTTTGGGGGTGGGTATTTTTCGCGCCCCGCGAAAGCTACACAAATGACCACTCTATGGAGAGCATCCACTAACGGCAACGGTAGAGTCATTTTAGGTTTAAAAGGCTTTCGAGTTTTCTTAGTTACGAAAGTTAAGGGGCTTTGAGCCTGTAAGCGCATCATGGAGCGACCGTGCTGCGTGGCCCTCGAGTCGGGCGGTGGTGGAGGACGCGCGACACAGGGTGCCTCTGAGACCGCTCCGGAACCGAGGTGCGCGTGCAGCCGCGTGCAGGCCCGGCCCCTGAGCGGAAGCCCGCCCTTCCAGTGCGCGCGCGGCGCGCGGCCGGGAGCCCCGGGGCCGCGCCCGGACCGAGGGGCGGAGCGGGCCGTCCGGATCGAGGTGGGGCGGCGCAAACCAGTCACTTTCCGCGGAGTCGGCAGCCGCCTCGTGTCCCTCGGCGGTGCGGCAGAGGGACCGGAGCCGGGCGTCGTCGCGCGCGTCCGAGGTGCCCGGAGGCCCAGGTACGTGCGACCCTGACTAGGCCAGCGCGGGACGTTTGACCGGGCGGTTGCGGCCCCGCTGCCCGCAGCCTGCCGCGGCCTCTGTGACGCGCTGTGCGGCCTCGGGACGCCCGCGGTCGGCGGGCAGCGGGACAGGGCGGGGCGAGCGCGGCGGCGGGGCGGGGCGGAGCGGAGCGAGGGGCGGAGCCGGCGGAGGCCCCGCCCCGGGGCCGAGCAGCGCGGACGCTACGGAGCAGGCGCGTCCCGCTGCCGCCGCCGCCGCCGCCGCCGCCGCCGCCGCCGCTGCTGCCGCCGCCGCCACCGCTCGCCCATCTCGGGAGCCACCGCCGCCGCCGCCGCCATTTGCACGGGAACCCCGGTGACAGGGGCTCGGCGGAGGGGCGGAGGGAGGGGGGAGGGCCTGCGAGCCCCGAGGGCGGGAGCGACGCCGCCGGCGCCGGCCAGGCTCCCTGCGCGACCGCGCCGCCCGTGGCGGAACCCGGGTGGCGGCGGCGGCGGCGGCCGAGACCGGGCGTGCGCCTGAGGCGGCGGCGGCGGCGGCCCTGCGGGCGGCCGGGAGGGGCGGGGGCAGCGGCCGCCGCCGTTTGATGGATCCGAGGATCGCCTGGTTCCAGCCAGAGCAGCTCGGACCGTCCAACAGTCTGTGGATGCAGATCTGGGAGACGACCCAAGGGCTGAGGAACCTCTACTTCAACCACCACTGTCACAGCAGCGGCGCGAGCAGCGCGAGCGGCGGCACGGCCAGCGGCGGGAGCGGCAGCGGCCCCGGTAGCCCCGGCGGCACGGCCCCGGCTCCGGCCGGCATGTTCCGCTCGGGTGAGCGCCCGCTGGGCGGCCTCGCCGTGCCCGCGGAGCAGCGGGACTTCCTGCCCCTGGAGACGACCAACAACAACAACAACCACCACCAGCCGGCGGCCTGGGCACGGCGGGCAGCGGCAGGCCCCTCGGCGTCGCCGGTCCCGTCGGCGCCCTCGTCCCCGCGTCCCACGGCCGCGCTCCCCACCTCCGAGCCCGCCGACCCGGCCTCAGGCAGCAGTAACAAGAGGAAGCGCGACAACAAGGCCAGCACCTACGGACTCAACTACAGCCTGCTGCAGCCCAGCGGAGGGCGCGCGGCCGGGGGCGGCCGGGCGGACGGTGGCGGGGGCGTGTACAGCGGGACCCCGTGGAAGCGGAGGAACTACAACCAGGGAGTCGTGGGGTAAGTGCTGGCGCCGCGGCCTGCGCCCGCCCGGGAGGGTCGGCACACACGCGCAGCGGGGCACACGCCCACAGGGGGCTGGCGGGTGGGGAGCGTCGGTGGCTGTTCATTCCTCCATCCCCGGCGGAGCTTTCTTTGGAATCCCCTTTAGCTGTCCACTTCTCCTCCGTAGTCATCCCACCTTCCTTCACTCCTAACTGTCCTTTCCTCCCCGTGCTTTCTCACTGCTCTTCCGCCGCCTCCTCATGCCCTAGAGTTCAGCCTGCCGGCTGATCCCTTCCTGCCCTCCACACCTTGGTCCCCATCACCACACCCCAAGATGAAGCTCATCCCTTAGCGCTGGGCTGGTATTAACTTCCTGAGAACGTTCTTGCCTTAGCGTCTTTAGATGGTTAGGACCAGGAGGTCCTCTTCTTGCCAAGAATAGAAACATCCAGAATGCTCCTTCCCCTCCCCCAACCCCCGACAAGAATCTTGTCAGCCCTGAAAGACACTGCCTGCTCTTGACCCTTTGGCCCACCTTTTATGTTTATTTAAAAAGAAAAAAAAAAAATTCTTGCGTTTGTGTTGCCTGGATTGTAGTGAACGAAAGCAGTGAGTGACAGCTACGTTTAGGTTGGCAGAGATGGTGAGCTCTTCCGAGCCCTGATAGAACTTTCCAGGAGTTCATGGTTGGCAGCTTCTCGCTGTGAGGTTGTCACTGTGGCAGAGGCAGCAGTGGTTCTCATTTAGGGGTGACGGTGGTGCTAAGTGTGTGAATGTTGCACCACCAGTGACTTTGTGTTTAAAGTTCATCTCTTACAAAATGGAATCTTACCTGAGCCCTAGTGAATTATGTACATAAGCTGGGAATGTTTCCAGCCTGGTTTCCCTTTGGGAAGAGCCCCTGTGTTGGCTGGATTAGGTTGCTGAGTCTCTCTTCTTTTCT